TTCAGTAGATGAATGGATAGTGAAAATTTGGTATATATACACAATGGAACATTACACAGTATTAAAAGAGAATAAAATAATGACATGTGCAGGTAAATGGATAAATTTGGAGAATATAATGCTAAGTGAAGCAAATCAATCCCCCAGAACCAAAGGCTGAATGTTTTCTTTGATATGAGAATGTAGACCCATAATGGCAATAGGTGGTAGTGGGGGGAAGCTTGGGAGGAATGGAGGAACTTTGGATGGGGAAGGGGGGAGGGAGGAAAAAGGATGGGGCAAGGGTGGAGGAATGATGGTAGAATGAGTTAGACATCATTACCCTAAGTACATGTATAAGACACAAATGATGTGAAAATACTTTGTGGGCACTCAGTGTCTTGAAAAATTGTGCTCTATTATGTGTAATATGAAGTGAATTGCATTCTGTCATCAAATATAAGAAATCAGAATAAATAAAAAAGAGAAAAGAAAAGAAATGAAATGAAATTGGCTGCATATTCCGGAGGTGGGTTAATAACTCACACTTTAATTCAATTTAGTCTGATAAGCTTAATTAAATCCATCTCTTATGACAAAATGGGGATTTTAATGAGAGGAAGTCACATTCTTCTTAGGGTTCTATTTTTCTATATAGAATCATGTACTTGGGGACTTCTTGATATCTAAACAGAAGTACTAGACAAATTTGGAGACTTGATGCCAGGATATGAGCAAACAAATATCAACAAGAAAGGATATTTTCAAAAGATAAAATTTACTTCTACATGCAATTTTAAGAACAGTCCTTTCTGTCTGACAATGTTTATGTCTGAAATACTCTTGCTTTCTGATACTCTTTGCTGTCTACGGTGTGCTCTTAAAAAAAAACAACAACAACAAAAACAAACAAACAAACAAAAAAACATTGTTTCAAAAGTTGAGGCTCAAAGTGAATTTTTCCTAGTAATGAAAAGACTAATTCCACTTAGTAATTTATTGGTTCTCAGACTAGTTCCAGTTTTCATTAAGACAACATCCATGTGATATCATAATGCACATCATTTTCCTGATCCATAAAGATTGAAGTATGTAATAAAGATATAAAAAGAAAATAAATGTGTTTTACAAGAATCAAGTAAAAACTCAACTAACAATAAAACAAGGAAATATTTATTCTGTATCTCAAAGGCAAGTATTAAATAATAAATTTGATTAATATTTTGGTATTTGCAGTTAAATGAGAAATGCATTTACTTTTGTATGAGAGAAATGCTAATCTTCAACTTTGTGGAGAGGTTAGTTGAACCAAGTTTTTGGTAAGATCCGGTTGTCAAAATACACAGTATTCACAGACTTCATGATCAGGCACATTAAACATGCTCTTAAGTAGACCTCTTCTAACATTTCAAAATTACTTAGGGTTATAACTATGATAGTAAAGAAAACATCAAAGTCTGGATTTCATTTAACTCATTTTTTAAAAAATGTTATTCTTTCTTTTCAGAAATTTGTATTCCCTCATTTCTTCACAATTTCCTGTTTTGAATTAACAGAGCACCTTGAATTAGTAAAAAATAATCAGATGCAATATATTTGGTAATGCATATTGACACATCACCAGAATATCTGGAAATACTTACAATTTAAAATAAAATTCTTAAAATATACATGAAATGAAAGAATGAATTAAAGTGATGTCATTTCTTCAATCCACATAAATTACAAAATTCAGGAGCTATGTTGCTACTAACACCAATTTTTAAGTAATACCACTTTAGAAAAAATTCTAATGCAAAATAAGTACACAAAATAATGCTATCTTTCAATGTTCATTATTTTAACTTTAAAACATTCACATTTCCATTTATTGTCTCAAATTTTACATACATATATATATATTTCAAATATTAGATTTTCTTAGCAAAATAGGAAGTCCAACATTTATGGTCTTTGATTTTTTTTTTTTAATGATCTTGTAGAGAAAGGAAGGTGACATTGTCTTGAAAATGATTTGGCATAAACTGAATTTGGGAACAAATTATTAAAGTCAAAACAGATATTCCTTTGAGGAAAAAGCTAAAACTAAGTTATTTGTAGGGAAAAAAAATAATTCTCTTTACATGTCAACATGTAAATGAACTCTACAAGAAATTGTTTAAACTCTTAAAAGTATTCCAACTTCAGAGTTGGCTATTATCAAGGATAATTACATAAGCAAACTAAAATTTGCTCTTGCTAACTAGTTTTCAAAGACCCACTGCAGGGAGTTGGGTAGTAAAAAGAAAGAAACCCACAGCACTGTGTTCCTTTGGGAAAGATGATCTTAACCTGCCTTCACAATCTTGTCACTTTCTAAAGAGAATCCCACAACACAAAGCTTTCGTCTTCTTCTTCTATTTTTGCAAATTCTAATCAGCCTGTGTAGGAAGGAAAAGAACTAACACTATCTGGAAGGTGAAAAGTACTCGATTTTTGAACAAACTGCTTTCTAGAGAAGGCATGAAATGGGAAGATTAGAGAAAAGTGTTTTCAATATAATGCTTAATGTGCAGGAAGGCTAAAATAAACAAGATATTTTTTGTGACCCTGATAGGTCTTGCAACATGAAAGAACCCGAAAAGTTATGAATTATTACTCCTCACATTAATAAAATACTGACTTCATCTTTCTAAAACAGAACACCCTTCCCCCATCCACAGCCTTAATTAAAAGCCTCTTAGCCCATGATTGAACTTTGTCAGGTTCCCAACTCTCAACTTCTCACAGTTGACTAAGTGTGGCCCCCTTCTCACCTTGGGTCAGGAACTAGAAAATAAAAACGAAAACAAGAGAAAGAAAATAAATAAATAAATAAATAGATAAATAAATATATAGGAAAACAAAATAAAATCCAAGTAAAATAGAAAACAAAATTATTCAGCAAAGGATGCAAGGTCTTTGAAGTTTTGATTCAGAATTTACGTTGAACCCCAAAGGGACCTACAAATCCTTTATCCTAGACTTTTAGCCGCTCCCATCAGCTCAGCGGCAAAGAATGTCAAGTGGGACAATCCTGAAGGAAAAGAAGTCACCCCCGCATCCTAAAGTACTTGGAAGTGCTCACTTGGATCTGTCTGTAGTCCGGGCAAGTGCAACTCCATTGCCCTCCAGTGAAGTCCCCAAAGCTGCCAAGTTTAAAGTGAAGCGAGGATGGAAGCACTTTCTCTCCCCGTACCTTCGACAGTTTGTGGCCACATTTCATAGCAGATTCTCGCCGTGGACTTCTTGGAAACCTCAATTATCCGCTTCAGGGAACAGAAAGCCACAGGGGAAGCGCTGATGATTTTAGTGGAGGCTCTTCTGGACTTTAGTGGTGTTCGCTGGTGTATTTGTTGGCGGTGTCCCTTTGGTTTATTTGTGTGGGATCTTACTGCACAGTCCCCTGATGCGCAGTTTGTCGCTTCAGATCTTGAACTCCGATCCCGCGCGAAACTTACTTCTGCGGAGATCCCTGGAGCCTGGAACTTCGCGCCCGTCGCAGACTCGGATGGAGGCTGAGTGGCAGAAACCGCAGACTAGCCTTGCTCCTTGGAAACAAAGGAGCCCGAGGGTTGCGCAGATGCCTAAACCCTGGATTGGACCAGGAGTTGGGGGCGGCGAGGGTTGGCTAGGGGAACCCAGGAAAGAAAGGAGGATGTGCGAGCAGTTTCCACCTAAAGCACTCCACTTGGGGTTCTTCTCGGAAAGAGGCAGCTGTGTAGGTCCCGATTACGCGTGGGTGCCCGTGCGCGCGCGTGGGGGTAAGCCTGTGGATGTGCTTGAGTGTGCGCGCTCTTGTGCACCCGCAAGACAACAGTGAAGCTTGGCAGAGCTCTTATGGTAGCGAAATTCCAGCGTGCCCAAACCCAGAAGGCTACCAGAAAGTGTCTTTACCAAGTAGGTTAGGAGGAGCTATTATTAGCCAGCCTCCGGTTTCAACTCCCAACTCCTTCTCTCTTCCTTTTGGGTCCAGACCGGTGTCTGGGCCAGTCAGGAACAGAGCTGAGAGGGGAGGTGTGCTCCGAGGCCAAAGATCACGTATTGGTGAACCCCTAAGGGAAAGGATGGGATTCCAACGCTCTAGCTAAATAGAACAGTGTGCTTTCACTAGGGGGTTCCTAGAAGGAAGTATTTTCTTTACTTGTGGCTTTGGGGACTGGAGGGAGCATGAAGGAGAGAAAAACTAGGGGGCGGGGGCGGGGGGGTTTGTGAAGAAATGCCGCCAGTCAGGCAAGAGTCAGGGTAGAGCCTGACAAGGACCAGGGGCGATCCCTACCCAGAAAGGCCCCCTGTAGCCTTCCCTCCTGCCACACCTCTTTTCTGCTTCATACCCTTCCCTAGTGCCAGAGACCTTATTGGCCAGGCTTTGCTTATGACAACTATTGGGCTCGCTTTCAGCTTGACATACTAAAATGTAGTCAACTGCAGCACTCCTTAATGTCTGATGCTGAGCTGATTTCCAAATATAAATGTTCTTTTCAGAATCTGCTCCCATCTGATTAGTAAGCAAACCACCCACCTACAACCAAGGGGACGCTGGAAGCTCGCCTCAGATGACTGAGACCACAAATCAGTAGCTCTCCATCTCAGAAATTCCTGGCGGATATATGACTTTTTCCACTGCCATTAGCAGCCACAGCCTGACCCATTGACACTTATTTATCCCATAACCACGGGGTAGTGGGGGATCAGCAAATTCCCCTCTTCGTAAGAGGCTGGTGACGCCCCTGGAAGTTCGCTTTTATCTTTCTGGGTTTCCAACGCTTCCCCTCCCCCTGCCTGCAACGCCCCCGCGCCTCCCCTGCTTGGGGGATTAGCCGGCGCTCGGCGGGCCCTCTCGGCGCGCCGGTGGTAAACCGGTTAGGAATGCGTGGGGTTGGGAGGCGCACGAGCTAAGAGCCGCTGGAAGGACCCGGGTAGGGTGTTGTCTGACTCTCGGAGTCTGGGCCGTGTGGCCGCTCCCGTCACTGCAGCTAGGGCCGGGCTCACGGCCACGCGCCTGCCGCCGCCGCCGCCTCCATGCTGCAGCGCGGGGCGCAGTTCCTCCCGGCCTGGCAGCCGCCGTTGCCCAAACACATCGCCGCGGAGAGCGGGTCTCTCAGGCCTGCCCGGGCTGCGGCTGCAACCCTGGTCCACAGCTGCCGGTCTCGTGCCTGAGCTGCGGACTCACCTCCAGCGCCTTGGCCAACGGGCGGGGCGCCGTTGTCGCTCCTACAGCGGCGCGCAGGGAGGTGGTGAGCGAGTGCAGAGCTGCCCGAACCGAGGACTGTATGTGTGTGCGTGCAGACGTGTGTGCGTGTGTTTGCGCGTTTTTCCCTCTTCCCCTGAGGATGTGAATGGCTTCGCAGCTGGCTGCTCCCTTAGGATTCTTGACTTTGGGGAGCTCTGGGCTGTGAGCACAACCCACCCTTATAATCCATTTTTTTTACGGTCGGTTATAGCAGGGGGGAAAAAAAGCGCAACTGGACGGGGGTGGGGCAGACCAACGAAACCTTCTGGAAAAACACATACATGCGAGAGAGGAAGAATTGAAAGACCTGAGAAGACTTTCAAAACCTCATTGCTAGCCCTCCCGTTTTCCGGCAAGATTTTGGACATTTTTTTTAACCTTTTTAAAGTCATCTTGGCATCTCTCTAGTATTTAGTAAGTCGCTTTCCAGTTAGCTGCGTGTGCGTGTGAGTGTGTGTGTGCGCGTGTGTATGTGCGCGCGCCTATCTGATGCATTTGACTGTCTTTTATCCAACTGCCCAGAAGCAAACGTGTTAACTCGGTGATGCCCCTCCATGCCCGGGTTCTTGCAGAGCGCGGAGGACGTCCAGACCCATTTTCCTGCCTGGATTCCGAGCGGCTGCTGGGTTGTAGAGCCAGGTGTGTGGATCACTTTACCCAGAGGCTTGGCAAGCGGCAGTATTAACCAGCTTCCAGGTACATCACAAGGTCAAGAGAGGGTCTTGCAGCTTTCTTGTTTCGGTGCATCTAGACTTTCCTGTATTAGCCAAAAGGATATGTACGTTTGGGTCCACAACATTTGAAGCCAAAAGTTCAGCCTTCCAAGCTGGTTTACTATACAAACAAGGTAATGGGGATTGCTTTTCAAACTGCTTAACAAAATCCCGGACTCGTCCACAGCCCTTTTCCCGGCTCCCTCCTCCCCACCAAAATGTCACCAGCTCCTGAATTACAAGGATTTGGTACGGAGAAGAACTTGAAGGAAACGTGATCAAAGGGCTATGAGAAAAGGAGAACGCTGTCTTTGCTGTCTGGTGGGTTTCGAAGCTGATCTTGACAAGAACCAGTTCCCTCCTTGTTTCTCTCTCTCCGTGCGGTGTTGGGTGTGCGAGTGCAAGTGTGAGCGCGCGCGCGCCCGGATGCGAGTGTGTGAGTGTGTGTGAGTGTGTTTCTGTGTGTGCGTGCACAGCTGCCCTGCCTCTGCCCGCTCCCCGGGCGCGGAGCCGCGGGTTTCATGGGGCGATCCGCGCGGATCCCCCACCCAGCGCGACCCGCGGGCAGCGGCGGCAGTGGCTGGAGCCACCTCTCGGACTCCCTAGGATGCGGGTGCTGAGCTATGGCAAAGGGCAGCGAAGTGAGGAGCAAGACCCGCGTACGACTGTGAAAGCCACCTGGAGCCACCTTGCCGGGATTGTACCTGCGGGCAGAAAGTCCTCTTACGACCGTCTTTCCCCCTAGAGGCACCAGGTAACAAGCAAACCACAAACCGCCTCACCCCGTTTTCTTCTGCTCTTGTTTCTAATGTCTTATCTGCATTGCAGGCTACTTTACTTATTAATGTTTTGAAAATCATTAGGAAGGGCTGCGTATCCAAGGGCGCCTGCTCTATGATGTGGTAATACAATTTCTGATGGATGGAATATAAATCTATACCTGAGCACTTAATCTAGTAGTGAAAGCTAAGGGAATATGGATAGCTCCACCCTAAGGATATTTTTTGAGAACTAGGCATGTTGAACCTGTCTGAAGATACCAGGGATTAAAATTTCGTGTTTCCTTCAGGCTATGGTTGCTACGGACCATTTGGTAACCAACCCTTCCCACATTGTGGAGTGTGAGAAGGTGTTTGGTTTCCACCCATCATTTTAGCCAAGGATTATTTTTATTTTGATTTTACCCTTTTCTATCTCTGGTTGTTTTCCTTTCCTTGTTGTGGACAAGCTTGCCAGATCCCTTTAGTAGTTGTAAATTACGCATCTGGGGACTTTGATCTGAAATGGAGTTTTCTTGGAACTTGCTTTGCATGTGAAGGAAATTCATTGTCATGGGTGTATGTTGAGATATGGTGCTTAACTGCTGGGATTTGCTTTTATGTACCAGAATAAATCCATGAAAGAAGTCATTTTTATATCTAGGAAAATGAGGCTAAAAACATAACCACCACCCAGCACCATCCCCAGCTGCATTATTTCAGTTATGTCCCCGTGTGTGTTTGTTTTTGCATAATAGGTGTTTTGGAAAAATTCTTTCCAGTGTCTTGACTTACAAGGAGCAGGTAGATTTGCCACTGCTTAATTAACATTTTGGGTCAAATGTGTTAAAATGGAAATACCCGTGGCTGACTGAGTCATAATAAATTTAGTTAACTTCCAAAGCCCCTTACCCTTGGACCTTATTTCTTTAATTTCCTTTCCCCATCACCTCTGCTTCTGTCCCCTACAGAAAATTTCACTCCCTTCTCAGGGGGCATTAGAATTAACAAGATAGAGCACTTCCAAAGTAGTCTCATCAATGTTTTATTCCATAGCGAAGATGGTCTGAATAATTCAGCTAAGGAGTGCTCATTTGTCTCCCCCGCTTTCTCGAGCTGCCTGCTTGGCTGCACTCAGGGGAGGTTTGGCCCGGTGGATCTGGAGGCACCCTGCTCCAGGAGGCAGTGATTGCGGTTGCTCTGGGGATTTCTCTTTGCTAAAGCCATTTAGAACGTGTAGGGGCGCTGCTTGATTTTCCTCCTTTCGCTGCGTTTCTATAGATATCCATATGATGGCATTTGCAGACTAAGATCTGGCCGATAGCTGCTCTAGTTGTCCCCGGAGCTGAAGTCCCAACTCCTTCTCTGGAGTCTGGGATAGGCTGCTGCTGCAGCCCTCACAGGCTGGTGGTGCTACAAGGCCATGTATGCAGCGGGTTTGGGGGGCTGGGCTCTGCCACTGCAGCTGCCAGGTCCGCTTTGACACTTTCTTGGGGCGGGGCGGGAGAGCTTTGCGTGCCCCTGGCAGGCAGTAGGCGCATCATGGCTGAAGTGGCCTCCTGGTTGTGGGAGAAGGGAGTGGGGAGAGGTTCCAGGAGGGCGGTGGTATCCAACTGGGTACACCTGCAAAATTCCTCACTCCCCACCCCGAATATGAATATTCACGAACATAGAATGAATGCTGGCTACAAAAATTCCTTGATACTCAAATACTGCATGATTTATCAGGATTAAAAACCAGAATCTAAGTGTGTAATTCCTAGAATTTTATTTGTTCTTTTTTTTTTCTCCTCCTCTTTCATGTTCTCCTGGATTTAATCAGATCTTTTACACCCCAGTTGGAGCACTACTGTAAAATTAGCTAATCTATTCTCCCCTATCCCATACTCAATAAATATGAAGGAGTTGAGGGCCATTTTTCAGACAGCCTTGGTGAGTGACACTGAACTCTAAGGAAGAATACAGAGGGTAACTGCACTTTACAAGAACAGCAGGTCTACATTCCACCCTTGAGGTCTCAAGAAGAAAAAAAAATGGTATTGCCTGCATTAAAAAAAAAAAAAGTGTAGATAAGCCAAATACACTAAAATAGCTGGGGATTTGGGAAGAATTGGAAGTAAATATTTTCTCTGTACATTTTGTTTTTTCTCTTAGCAAATATCTTTATAATTCTCTTATCACTCAAAAAATTTTAGACAGAAGGCTGACTTGTGTGTGCTAAATGTCTGACAAGGACATGTCTTTGTCCCTTAAATTTTCCCAGAGTATTATTGCAATAGAAATGAAACCATACTCATAATATTTTTGAGCAAATAAATAATGCTTCTCTAGAGGGTAACCAAAAATAAAGGAATGTTGGTGAAGAATATAGGTACTTGGAAAATAAGGTGTTTTCCCCACATCTCCTTCCTCATTTTACTTCCTTTTGGCCTTTTTTCCACCAAGGATTCACTGTTTTGCAAGTTTGTTCTTGTCTTTGAGCACTCATCCTTAGAGATGGCAAAACAAATACATTAAAACTGATGTTGAATATACATAAGCCTAAATATAGTCTTATGTTGTAATTCAAACTTAAAATTCATTCATTGATGTAGATTGGACTTAGGTCAAATGTCATAACCAAACAGGATTCCACATATAGAAGTTCCTCAAAAATAATAAATAAATAAGTAAATAAATAAATAAATAAAAATAGAGATTTCTGCCACTCTTGCCTCTCCCCTCTCTGGAGAAAAGGCCAGTTTGGAGATTTGAATCTATTTCCCTTGTTAATCATTATCCATAGACAGAATGGGCCTGGCTCACTGATGAGTTAAGACTGTCAGGAATTGATAAGGGATTTCCCAGCAAAAGCTTCCTCCTTCTTAGCCCTCTTTTGGTCACTGTCAAGAGGGAAAGAACAATGGGAAACTCAGGACACTCATAGGAACAGACACGCACAGTTAATCAGGTAGGAGCTTTCACTTTATTCTCATTCCTAGATGATTTCTTTTAGTATTTTTTCCCTTTCTCTTTTTAAGAAGAGAATGACCTTGAGCAATACTAATATTTCCCTTCTTCAAATATATAATGATATATGTATTCAGTTTTGAAATATGACATTTCTGTGCTGGTTTATTTGGAGAGTTCATCAACATATCTCTGGTACCAGCCTGAGGTAATTTCTATCCTTTTTTTTTTTTTTTTTTTAAGAGGGATAGTAGCAGCTATAGTTATCTGAGGGAGAATTACCCCCCCTTATTCTCTCTCCAATTATTTTTGTCTCCTATGCCATTAATGGATTCTTGGCAGTAAAGCAGTCTGGTTATGACATTGGTGTTTAAATGAGCATCATATGTTAAATCCACCTTTCATCTTTCCATGAATGAGCATCATTTCCCTTTGTCCATTTAAGCTAGTGCTGTTTCCTCTTGCTGCTTGAAGCTCTTTTGGCTTTGTAGTTTTGCTGAGTTTTCTTGCTGGTGAAATTAGGATCTTGCTTTCTGCTGATATTGTTGCTCTGTCCTTATGTGGTTGGGATGAGATACTTGCTGCTATGTAACAGTGTTCTTGCTGGTATGTAAAAGTACTATATAATAAACTACTCAGGTATTTAAGAGAGAAATTTTTAGTAAATGACATTGATAGTATTTTTGCCTATGCTGCAGTCAGAAGTTAGAAAACTAGTTGAAACTTTCTAAAAGCTTAACTAGCTAATCTGCTATTCTTGTTTCAGTGACTTTATTTCTGTTTAATTATGATTGGAAGCTATTGATATTGCACTCCAGATTTTTCATATATTCAGGTCTAAGTTTTATGTTTCATTGTAAAAATACAAATTTAGGCCTCACTGATGTGAATGTGACTCCCTAGAATACATGAATAACGGGTAAATTTGCTAAATCATTCCAGTAATACAAATGTTCATAGTTCTGCTTTATGCAATAAATCTTGAGAATGAATCTACTTATTCTATTTCTAAAGCTCACATTTCAATTCTTATGGCATCCTTCAATCATTGAGGACTATTTGGAACCCAAGGCAGTATAATTTGTCCATTACATGGTATGTGCATGGTAAAATTATGTTTATAATTATTGAGCTATTCTGGTTAGAGGTGAACCATCTTTATTATGCTCTATCACAATAAATTGTACGATATTATGAAACACCCAGTAAGTATAACAGGAGATAGAAAAATTTAATTCAGAGATAGTTAATGCTACTTTTAAGCTTTTATATCATCATGTTCTGATAGATACTGTTCTGGCAGAATGCTTTTCATTGAACTATATCATAATTTAACAGTAATTATGAAGAGGGTTAACAAGTGATAGAAAATTACAATGGAATTATATGGTTATATAAATGCACTATCATTTTACTGATATCAAGTAAAGTACATGAAAAGACTTTATTATTTAAACTACAAACCACATTTTTAATGTTTCTCAGAAATTGGCTTTGATAGCTAGTATTTGTTACGTCACATGGCTACACTGGAGGAAAACGCCAATTGATCATTTTGAGTGTTTTATATATTCTTATGAAAGAAATCTCATATCTTAAAGCTCACACTAGTCATGCATTTGCTTTATGTGTATCTATATGTAGTCTCACAAATAATATATTAAAAAGAATCTATGTATATACATATGTATGTGTGTGTGTGTATATATATATTTCTGTTTTTTAGTCAGCTTTATTGCTGCTCTGAACAAGAGACCTGCAGGAACAATTAGAGGAGGAAAAGTTTATTTGGCGTTCACAGTTTCAGAAGTCTTAGTCCTTAGACAGCCTTCTCCATTTCTTAGAATCTGAGATGAGGCAGAACATCATGGCAGAAAAGTTGGCAGAGGACAGCAGCTGGGGACATGGCACCAGGAAGCAGAGAGAGAAATGTTTGTTTAAACCCAAGCCAACATTTCACCTCTTAAACTTCTTCATTACCTCAAACATGAACTTTCTGGGGATACCTAATAACCAAACCATAGCAGTATATATGATATGTTATTTT